TTTTGTTCTCTGTTGTCTGTGGAGTGGCACAACCAGGTTCCCCAGCTTAAGCAGTTTCTGTCCAGGGAGGCTGGATTGTAGGCACTTCAATCTGTCAGCTGTGGAAGTGGGTCTTTCACCTGATTGCAGCCTCTTTCTTAAATTTCTTTTGTCCTCTCTAATCCATAGGATGGGTCCACAAATAGAGCTGGATCCCCAAATATAAGTTTGTTGGTTTTTTCCTCTCCAGGGGGGACAGGGAGGGACCTGGAGAGCTGAAGGTGGTCAGGGAGGAAATCACGAGGTCACAGAGTTTGTTGGGCACAAGGAGGAGCTGAAGGAATTAGGAAGGATCGAGTGGAGAACGGAAAAGACAGACTAATGGTGAGCATAGATCAACGGTGATTTGTTGTGTAGGAGAATGATCATATAAAGCACATTGTAAATGAAGGAATATGTGAAACACAATGTATAGACAAACATCTATATTTTTTAATTTTAAATTGATATTAATGCAAGTTTACAGAAACTTTGGATTTCCATTCATTCATTGTTGCACTTTTTCCTCTGCCCACCCCTCCCCCCAATTCACTTTTCTTTTTGAAAAGTAAAAGAACAAAATCTTTCATTGTTATTCAATTCTCTCCCCGCAAGTCCACTCCACTATGCAACCTTCGTTCTGGACTCCTGTCATAACAATAATATCTAATCATATATCCCTTTTAAATAGTTCTCTCCCTCATCTGTTTCAGTGGAGTATATTTCCCATCTTTCTCAGTCTCCCCTTAACCCCTATGTCAGTCCTCTTTTTATAACAGTGGTATTTTGCCGTATTTGTCTTTTTGTTACTGAGATCTGTTACTCAGCATAATGCCCTCCAGGGTCACCCATTTTGTGTAATATTTAATGAGTTCCTTGTTTTACACTGCAGCATAATATTCCATTGTGTGAATATACCACAGCTTCTCTCTCCATTTGTTTGTTGGTGGGCAGTTGGGTTGTTTCCAACACTTTGCTATTGAGAACAAAGCTGAATAAACATAGGTGTGTATGTATCTGTTTGGGTGGCAGTTATGGTTTCTTTAGGGTATATTCCCAGTAGTGGAATTGCTGGGTCAAATGGTATTTCCATTTACAACTTTTTGAGAAAGTGCCATACAGCCTTTCATAGTGGTTGCACCATTTTACACTTCCACCAACCGTGAATACGGGTTCCAGTTTCTCCACAACCTCACCAGCATTTGTTGTTTGCTGTTCTGTTAAATTTTGCTATTCTGACTGCGGTGAGATGATATCTCATAGTTGTTTTGATTTGCATCTCTCTTGGAGCTAAGGGTTTTGAACATTACTTCATGTCATTTGCCATCTGAATGTCTACTTTGGTGAAGTGTCTGTTCATATCCTGCCCATTTTTCAAGCGGGTTGTTTACTTTTATCTTTTTGTGGTGCTCGAGTATTTTATAAATTCTAGATATAAGACCCTTATCTGACATGTCATAACCAAATATTTGTCCCAATCTGTGGCTTCCCTTTTTACCATGTTGGAGAAGTTTTTGGATGTGCATAGGTCATTGTCATCCCGTTTTCTTTTAAATTTTATTTTGTATTGGTTTTTATTTTGTATGGAAACCAACATAAAATAAAATTTAAAAGAAAAAGGGATGACAGTGATCTCTATGGAAAGGATTGAAAGGGGCAAGTTGGACTTAATGCTCCATAGTCTTATTTACTTTTGGGAAGATTATTGTTTCTGTTCTGTATCATTAAATCAGGCCCAGCTTACGGCAGTCTCACAAACCCCATTGAGTTGTATAGGGTTTTCAGTGGCTTATTTCTCGGAGATTTCCAAGTCTTTCTCCCATGCCCTTAATCTGGATGTTCTGCTGAACTGTACTCTGTGCCCCAGAAACATACAAGTCTTGGCAGAGGAGTGTACCTTGTTTGGGAATAGAACTCAGGGCATATCATTAAACCACCACTGCCCTCCTGGGGAAGTTAAAAACAAATAGACAAACAAAAATGCAATTTCCATAGAGTTGATTGACTTATTGACCCTCCACTGGATTTCCAGGTTTGTAAATTTTTACAGTAGGAATCTAAGAAGCTGCTGAGGGATTTAAACCTCCAGTCTCTGGTTAGCAGTACAATATAAAATGCATTCCACCAGTAAGACTGCTTCCTAGGATAGTTCTTTCTGTCACTCTCACTGTCATTAACAAGTCAGAACCTACTGATAGCAAATCCATTGGATTCCTAAGGCTGTAAATGGAATGGGAGATAGTCATCTTTCTCCCAAGGAGCCACTGGTGGATCCAAGCCACCAGCAAGGGAAGACCTTTGGATTAGTAGCACTGTTCCCTGCAGACTACAGTTAGTACCCCATAAACTACCAGAGATAGTGAGATAATATTTCCTCTAGCCTTCCCCATTACTTTCTGCTCCCCTCTCTCATCCTCATTCCAAACCTTTCTTTTTTTAAAAAAAAAAAAATCACTTCTGGAGGAGACATCTGAAGCAAGTCAGTTCTAGCCCAAAGGACAGAGTGGTTTCAAGTTTGATCTTATTCTATTCCTGAGTTAACATTTTAAGCATAGCTTCGGCAGCCCAGGAAATTGTTTCTGTCCCTATGGGTTGTTAGAATCCAGTTTTTCAAAGCACTGCTGGGTATTTAAAGATGCACAGTTTTTTTAAAAAAGAAAGCATAGAATAATAGACTGCTATACAGTCAGCATTCAGAGGTAGCAAAATCTAAAGTCTACTGCTCAGATGAATGGCTGGTCTGCAGCCACAAAACAAAAGCAAATTTTACTCATTAAATGTTGCAGACCGAGGGTCCCAAAGAATGAAATAATTTTATAATTATTAATAATGAGACATACTACTAGGAACGGTATAGAACAGAGAGTGTGAAAAACAGGGGGCCAACAGTTCCCATGACTGAAGGCCCCAAGCCATGCTTCTCTGAGTATTTATTTAGAACCATAAGGAAGGTGAACAAAGTAAAATCACAAGGAAGTACAAAACAAAAACAAAGGATAATGGTGAAGTCTTTTACAGATAAGGCCAAGTTTCTCTTTATGCTAATCTCAAGAGGGAGGGATTCTTTTGACACAAACTAAGAACAATGTTGACTCCTAGGGAATGCCCCAGTACCACAAGGTGACCTTCAGCTTGTATTAAGCTTCCCTCATTTCCCATACAGCATTTGGTCTACTATTATTAAATTTGATAGTCGGCTTCCCTCAATTAAAATTAACTTCAGAATCTAAGAAAATACTCTGTCCTTCACTATACAAAAACACTCATGGTCTCTTGTTGTTTGTTTCCTTGGTAAAGTTCTCCCTAGAGCACTGTTTCTTTCCTCCTTGACATTTCTTCTTTATCCTTTTACTTTCTTTTCTACTTTTTCTGCTCTATTCTTTCTCGTTATTTACTCACATTTATCCACCTTTCACTTTTCCCTTCTAAGTTTTAGTCTCCACATACTCATTAATTCTACTTTAAGACTTAAGTACTTGGTAACTAGCCAAAGGGCTGGCAATTCTAACCTTCTCACAAGGACCTATTAAGAAAGCCCTGGCAATCTGCTTCTGGAAGGCCACAGCTATGATAAACTGAGATGGCACAATTCTACCCTGACACACACAAGGCTGGTGTGAGAAGGTTTTGACTACAAAGTAGCTAGTTACTAGTTAAAAATAGGGAGCTCTGGAGTTGTGTTGTGCTGCCAACCCAAAGGCACATGGTTCAAATCTACCAGCTGCTGTATGGGGAAAAAGATGGGCAATCTCTTCCCATGTGGTTTATTACCTCTAAAAAGCCAGCAGAGAGTCAGCTATGAGTTGTTTCTGATTTGATAGTACATAACAATACCAGATGAAAATGAGCTCCCTAAAATAAAACCAGAGTCTGTTTTTAAATATGTGTGAACAGAATGTTATATTCTCTGTTCTTGTTGCTGCATAACGTAGTGGGAACAGACCCGTAGCTGGTCAGCTACCTGAAGGTTTTCAGAGGCAATAAACTGCATGGGAGGAGATTGCACAACTTTCTCCCATGGGGCAGCTGGTGGATTCAAACCACGTACCTTTGCACTGGCAGCGTGACTGCTTACCACTAAGCCACCGGCTAAAATTTACTCTCACTCTCATTGCTGTTGAGTCAGAATCAACTCATAGCTTACTCTCATAAGGGGGAAAGACTGCTCACTGCCTCATGCAAAGCCACTGATGGATTCAAACCACCAGATAGGCACCTCTTTTGAGTTAACGGTACAACTTCCTAAGGACTGTGCCACCCCCAGATGCTTCCTTAATTGAATTAACCTTTTAGCTCTATAATTAATGACACCTTAATTGTTAGATTGTTAAAAAGTTCACATGACTCAGATTATACTGATAAAAGAGTTTTAATGTAAATTGAGGATAAAACGCTGTCGTCACAGAAGAAAGGTACGCCTTGGAGCGATCCAAAATTCTCTGGTACAGTTTTAACTTTGTCTTCCTTAGCTGGGTCTTTCAGAAGATGCTCTGCCACCAGGTCTCAAACCACCACAAGTGCCTATACAGACATGTTGGTCCCAGGAAGCCTAGCTCACAGCAAGGACTTTCACAGCTGATTTCAGGAACATTCCTGGTACTTTACAGGTCTCAAGCATTAAAATCTTTAACTCCACCAAAACCAAGAGTAAGGCATAATTCCAATTGTCCTTGTTTAAACAATGCTGGCAGGCTGAAATATTCTTCCCCCTAAAAACACCCCTCAAACACTCATTAATGGCAAAACAAGATTTATCATTGGTTAGCACATTTTAAAGTTTTGTTCTGGGGTCAATACAGTCAGGATAGTTCCAGGGAATCCTCAAGATAAGAATGGAGTCAGTTCATAATTAGGTTAATCCATACACTCTAAGCTTTGTCTTAGAATCCCACGAAACTGCTTTCTATTTGAGCTGGAACTTCCTTGGTTTTTGTGGTGAGTTCAGAATCCATGTTTCCCGAGTCCATTCCCTCTAGCCCAAGTTAAACAAAATGAAAAGGGTGAGATGCCACAGGCAGGTCTTTCTCCCTCTGCCATGCCTCCTTCTCAGCCCTCACCTTCCACTTCATCTCCATGATGGCCCTTTCCACTTCCTCCACAGCTCGTTCCCGCCTTTCTACTGCTTTCTCCCGCCATTCCACTGCCTTCTCCCTCCTAAGTATCTCCTTTTCCCTTTGGCTGGCCCATAAAGCCAGCCCTCCTACCTGCTCCAGGAGCCTGGCCCAGTCTCCATCAATGCCCATGGGGAGCTGTGAGCCTTGAGGCCTTGGGTCCTGGCGCTGCCCTGCCTGACCATGCCCACTCTTCTCCAGCTCCTCTTTGTGCATGCTCTTCAGATGCTTCCACAGGGCCGTGGTGCCCACATTAACCCCAGGGCCACGGCTCACCTGTCTACCACACAAGCGACAGGTAGCATATTGGTTGGGGTGGTGCCCAGCTCGTGGTGGAGCCAAGTGGAAATATTCCCACGCCTCAGAAAACCGGGTGCCCCTATTGTGGGGCACTGGTGGGGGCATAGCGGTTGCCAGAGGGACAGGCAGCTCCCCAGGCTCACTGATCTCATCTTCTTCCTTCATCTCCAAATACCCTTTTGGATTCGTTCTCATTCCCTCCTCCTCCTCCTTTTCTCGACTCATCTTACCTCCTCCTCTACAACTTCCCTTGTGATTGTACCTGTGATTGAACCAAATGTCAAAGCTGACTCACAAGACTAAACGTGCACTTGGGAGGTGCTATGGTAACCCCTGGAGATTCACAGTGATCGTCAAAGTCTGGCTCCAGTTGGATGATGTGGTGTTTCCTCTTTCTGCTTCTCTGAGGAGTCAAACCACAGATCCAAGAACAATGGATTGTGAAGTTTTCACCTACCTTGCCTGCATGCCACAGATACTTGGTGATCCCTCTTTGGCCAGGCCAGAGACAAAACAAATGAGTTCCTGGAGTGAAGGCTTTCCCTGTTCAACAATTACAAGGCTGTTCAGAGAAATCAGTGCTCTCCACAACAACCAACATCGTGAGGGCGTGTCAATGGCGAAACTGTAGGTTTTCTCTTGACTCTTCTCTGGGTTCTTCCCACAGTTCCTCTGCTCTTTGAAAAACCTCTGAAGTATGTTTTCACCTGTGAAGGCAGGAAGATCAAGGTCAGAGCTGATCCTTGCCGCGTCTTCCTCAGAGTGGGAAAAAGAGGCAGGGGCAGCCTGTAACATCTGAGAGACTCTCACCTCCTCACACTGTTCCCACAAGCGGTTCAAAGACCTCTGAGTCGCCAGAGTCTCTGCAAAAAGTTCCTTCAATGAGGTCAGTTTACACACAGACAGATTTGGGTAAGGCTAAGAAAGGCAAGCTGTCTTCAGCATGAGAAGCTGGCATGTGTGGAGATAAGAGCCCACCTCCGTGGCCCAGGTGCCCCGTGGTCTGGGTGAGCAGCTGGGAACACAGCTTTCTGCAGCACCAGTACCTGCAAAACCAACAGCCAGTAAGTCCTTCGGAACAAGCACTTAAGTTCATCCTGTTGTTTGACTCACTTACTCCATTTTAGGGATAAACTTTCTTTCTGTTTTGGGAGGTCACTTTTTGAGTGACATATTTACTCATCAGGTTGTGGAACACAGTTAAGAAATCCCCTCCTTGCCACAATGGGTACTCACACGGGAAGGCTGGCTCTGTACAAGGGTCTTGTCCGGTGGCGCAGAGCGAGGTGAATGCGAGGTGAGTGTTCCCTCACCTTCTGGATCACTATTAATTAGCTGGCTCCTACCCCCAGCGGGAAGGTACTTTTTAGTTCCTGTTTCCTCCCACTTCAGCCAGAGTCTTGTTTCCAAAAGGGTGTGTCCTTGCCTGTCAGGTTTTTCTGTAACACTTACACCCAAATGCAAACCTTTTCTCCACCCACCCCACCCCCACTGGAAAAAAAAATTTCTGGCAGGCACCTACAAGTCTCAGTTCTCCTTCCCTGTGACTAGGGTCAGACATTAGATTTTCATTCATTCATTGTTGCACATTTTACCTCTTCTCTCTCTTCCCTCTCTCTCAGTTCATTTTTTTTTTTTATATTCGTTCACTGTTGCACAATTATCTTCCTCCCTCACCCCTCACCCCAGTCCTCTTTGCAGTGTACCTCTTATTCTGGGCTGTTGTCGTATGTGTGATGCCTAATCATATATTCCTTTTAGGCAGTTTTTTCCTTTATCAGTTACAGTACAGTATTTGTTATTTATCTCCACTTTACTTAGTTTTCCCCCAAGCCCCCATGTCAGCCCTGTTCTATAACAATGGTGATATTCAGGAGATTGAAATCCTTATTCGCTGATGATGGAAGGGTAAAATGATGCAACCACTATGGAAAAAAGTAAGCAACTTTCTCAAAAAGTTGGAAATAGAAATACTATTTCACCCAGCACTTCCACTACTAGGAATATACTCTAAAGAAACCAGAGTTACCACCCAAACAGATAGAAACACACCCATGTTTATTGCTGCATTGTTCACAGTAGCAAAGACATGGAAGCAACCCAAGTGTCCATCAAAAATTGAATGAGTAGAAAAACTGTGGTATATTCACACAATGGTACACAGCGCTGGAAAACAAGGACCTCATAAAATATTACACAACATCGGTGACCCTCGAGGACATGATGCTGAGTGAAATATCTCAGTCACAAAAGGACAAATACTTTATAAGTAACTTATCTTGTCTCTCAAGCATAGGAGGAGATTTCAGGGATTGAGAGACAGGGTGAAATATGGACTGTAGCAACACATGTCTCAGGGACACCTGTTGTTTTAAATATTTTGTCACCGTATTGGGCTATGTGTCTTAATTTGGATTTTTGAAACTAGGTGACTCAATAACAATTACATACTATGACAGGTTTGGAAGCAGGAGTGGCATCCACTTCCTAAACAACATGCCTCCATAAACTATGAACTTTGATAAATACCCATAGTTATAAAGAGGCCTCAGGCTTTTTGTCCATACAGTCACTGTGAGTGTGCCAGTGGGTAATCAACAATAACAACAACATCGTTACAGTCAATAGAAAGGCCAAAGGAATTTACAGAAAAGAGGAAATTAAATAAATGAAAACTCCTGGTAAAGCAAAAATCATACTAAAACAATAACAAAAAGTTATTGAGAAATTTATTAATATACAATTGCAAATCAGGGTACCTTTTTGCTAGGAGGTAAAAAATGCTACCAAGATAAAGAATAATTCTTACCTGTTATCTTATAAGACATTGCTATGGAAATGGGCCTAGAATAGTGTTTACATAATAACAATTTACCCAAAAACACAGCCTAGCCTCTAGTCTGACCTTGAAGTTCTTATCTCTTAAAATCTCACATAAATAATTCTTAAAGAGAGGCCAAGGTCTGAAGTAAACAATTCTTACAGAAACACTTTCTGGTTTATTATAGAACTCATAATATTAAGAAAATCATAGAGAAATTATATGAGTTGTTCTTGCTCTTGCTATTATATTGTTAGGAGCCTTGAGTATGATTGATAGCAACTCTATGAACAAGAGATCCAAACCTTGAAACAGATAAGGGAGGGAACTGTTTAAAAGGGATATATTATTAGGTATTATTGTCATGACAGGAGTCCAGAACAAAGGCTACATAATGGAATGAACTTGGGGGAAAGGATTGTAAAACAATGAAAGAATTTTCCTTTTATTTTTCAGAGAAAAGAGTGAACTAGGGGAAGGGTGGACAGGGAGAAAGTGCAACAATGAATGAATGGAAATCCAAAGTCTCTGTAAACTTTCATTAAAATTAATAATAATTTTTAAAAA